AGAGCTCCCTTCTACCAGGTACTAAAACCTATTTCTAATAAAGTACCAGCCCACCTGCTCCTTGGAGATTTGAATTACTTTCTGTCTACCAATTGGAATCTACTTTGTAAATGTGAAAAGCAGGAAAAGAAAAGTACTGTGGGTAGGGTGCCAGCTGCAGGGGCAGGAACAATGGGCAAATTATGTGTTGTATTAAATAATAACTCTCCCCTTTGAATTACTTTTAGCCCCATCAGGAATAAATCTCTGCCAGAAAATATAACTTTACTATCTTGAGAGAGAAAAGGTTCAGCTGGATCTCTTCTGTCTGGAAAGAGACATTTGACGGATGCAAGGTAGAGAATCCATGTCAAGAAGACTTGATACATGACCCATTAAGCCTGGATTTAGGCCAAAGCAGGGATTCCCTTAGGGAGTACGTGCCTCTAGCCTAAACTTTTCTTCGGGGTAATGGAGTCAGGAGCGCTGCATACATAAACACAGTTTTAAATGTTTTGTAAAATTCATGGGTCCAAGTGAAGTGTAGGAAGCTCTAGTAGCCTAGTGGTAATGAGTTACACTGCTAACCCAAAGGAAGGCAGTTTGATACCAGCTATTCCTTGGGATAAAGATGGCAATCCCCTCTTGTGCCATTTACAGACTCTGACTCAACAGCACATAATCAACAATAAAGCAAAGCTTAGTAATATATGACAGAGATTTATTATGGATGAAGACTCCATACTGGAATTGCAAAGAAGGTTTTCGATGGGGACTGGAAGAGCTGGTGAGATAGACATGAATAAGGTAGAATATTGGCTGTTACGGATTCGTTCTAGGGAAATAATTTCTTGTTCCTTGTAGGTGAGGCATCAGAGAAGGCTGTCCGTCTACCAACTATAGAAGCTGTGTTTTCAGCTCTTGCCACTAGGGGTCTGCAGGGTATTTTCGAAATTGATTCTCTGGCTCTCTAGGATCAGGTAAAGAGCTGACCACTGAGATCTCTCTAAAATGGAGACTGCAGGGGAGAGATGGGTGTACTCACTGGACAGAGTATGGACTTTTAAGTGAGAGGAATTGATGGAGACAGTGTAACCTCGTCTGCTAATAAAAGAATATTAGTAATTTCTGGTGAATCCCAGAATCTCCTTTTAGCTTTTATTTTTTAAAACTATATATTGTGACAGTTTCTAGAGCAAACTGGTTTTCCACTCAACAATGTACATTATGTTCCATGACATTGGTTGTAATCTGTACATTATAACATTCTTGACACTTTCTTCTTACATTTCTTGCTTCAATTTATCTTTCTTTCCTATCCCTTCCTGCTTTCTTAGCTTTAACACTGGACAAATACTGTCTTTTAATCAGGTGTGGTTGCTTATTCTAAGGTCTATATTACTTTGTAGTGTAATCAATCACCTTACAGATCTGTTTACTATCTGGTTGAAACTTGTGTCTGAAGAATGATTTCCGTTTCAGGCTTAACAGGTGCTTAAGAGTCAGAGTCTCCAAGGTCCCAGCAGTCTCTATCAGAACAGGAAATCTGGTCTTTTTTGTAATTTTTAATTATTTTGCATTTTGGTCCACGTTTTGCCCCAGGATTATCAGTGTCATTTTTCTATGATCCTTTCAGAGCAGTCAGCAGGGGGAGCTGGGTACCATCTAGTTCTTCTGGTTTTAGGATTGTGCAGATTGAAGTTCAAGTGGTCCATTAAAACTTTGGACTAATAATCTTTTACTGTGTTCATTCTTTCTTGTACTCCAGAAAGAGCATAACTGTGTTTTAGCTGTTTACGTGTAAGAGTTTAATACTGCTACCCAGTTGCTACTCACCAAAGCAGGATATAGATTATTGTCTTTGTCGGCCCTTATTTTTTAAAAAAATTTCATATTGATTTACCTCCAAAGTTAGTATACATTGTTTTTCACCCTGGATCTTTCCCCTTTCCTTTATTCACCCCTCCCTCCACTCATCAAATTGTGTGACTCTATGATTAAGCACCGCCCCTTGGATCTTTATACTCGTTCTACAATAATGGTTTTATACAGTATTTGTCTTTATGAGACTGAGTTAGTTCACTTAGCATAATGTTCTACAGTCCCTCCTATATTAGGTAGTAATTATAGTAGTAATTTACAAAATCATTGCTCCTACATACTGCATAGTATTCCATTGTGTGAATGTACCTTAATTTCTCAATCCATTCCATTGTGGCTAGGCATTTGGGTTGTTTCCGTGGTTTTGCTAAGGTGTATAATGCTGCTATGAACATTTGTAGTTCTTATGTTAACTGGCATTTTGTACCCCCAGAAATTATGGTCCTAAGCTCCCAAACCAAGCAACTCATTCCCTCACAGAATTTGATTATGGTTAAGATGGTTTTGTAATTTTGTGCCCTGTTTGCACAGGTGGCTATATTTAAAGCCCATACAGGCATATGTAGATATCTGCCAAACTTACATTGTAATGGTCTCACTCATAATTCCCATATTGTAATATTTCACCCCATATAATTGTCCTTTGGCTTTTGATTACAATGAAAGGACACAGCCTTTCCACACACTGCTCCTATTCCTAATATCCTTGGTTTATCTCCCAGATAAATTCTTCAACTGGTTGATTTTCTGTGACTCCAACTCTTTTCCCTTCTTTGCTCATCTAACTGCTCTTCTTTTTCTTTGCTTTATCAAACACATTTTCTATTTGCTATTTGGTCCTTCTAAATAATCAAAGAGAATGAGCAGTTTTCCCTTAGGAGTCAGTCTTATGACAGTTCTCACTTCTCCTCACCACTCTGCCCAAATCTAAAACCTCAACCTTCCAGCAGATGCAAATACACTTCTTACCCAACCTCTCTGTCTCTAGAGGCCTTTGTCAGAAAAAGTGAGTCAGTTTTAAAGGAAAATATTAAGTCAGGGAGGCATAGGGTGTAAATGGAAACAGCACATTAAGTGATTATTTGCCTGCAGGAACAAGAAAGTGAAAGTGGGAAAGACATGAAAGAAGAAAGTTTAAAAAGTCAGATCACTCTACTGGAGAAGGAGGAACAATCTCCTCCTGTACCAGTCAGATCTAATTTGACGGTACACACACACACACACACACACACACACACACAAGTCAGATCAAACTAACTCAAAACTTTTCTTTCCACCAATCTTCCATTTTCATGTGTCCCTAAGTCTCGAACATGTTGCTGTCCAGAGCGTAGAGAAAAATGCTAGGAGGAGGAATTCTCAGAAGCAAATCATACCAGGAATCCTTTCAGTGTTTTCCTCAAACTCCTTTTCTTACTTCCACACTGTCTAGCTTTACTATTTCCTGCTTCACTCAAATTCAAAAGAAAGAGGCACAGGTCAACCTCTTGTATCTTCTATTCATCCAACCCCATAGCTATTCCTCCCTTAAGTAGATTTACTCTCTTAGACGCAGAATTTTTCTTCCCATATCCTTCCTTATAAGTCAGCACCCTGGCAAACATCAAAGGAAAAGAAGGGCGGAATGAGAAAAGACTGCCTTCAGTCCTGTTCATTTCACACCCAAAGCACTATTTTACTTTCCTTCCTAGTTTGGAAAAATTACTTTCTCTCTTATTGACCCCGCCCCCCCAACCTAACCGCTTCTTTTAATCTCCCAGAAATCTTTGGTTATATGTATCTAGCATAAAATAAGTGATTGAATGTTTTAAAAAATATCTGATAAAGGGGAAAGGAGGAACTACCTAGAAAGATTAAAAGAACAGAACAAACAGGAGAGATTAAAAAAAGAAGTAAGAAAATAATGACACGCATGCGGTAAAAAGTGTGAAGAAATAAGAAAGACTAGAGAAAAAAAGGTGAGGGTACACAAAAGACGAGGTTAAGAGGACAGGAGAAGAGCATGGACAGTAAAAGGCTACGAGAGGCCAGGGCTGGAGAGAAAAGACAGACTGATATTACTTTAAAACTAAGGCTAGGACTCAGACCAGGGGCTCTGTGAATGTTTTTCAATCCAGTGTCAAAGAAAACACAGAAATAATAAGAAATGGAGATTGTAAACAGAAACAACAACAAACATTTAAACCATCTTTGAAGAAAGGAGAACCAGCCAGTAATTAGATCCAGGAGTAATGGGAGAAACAAGAGAAGGCCAGCATACTACAGACTCTCCTAAGAACGAGCTTGTGGCCTCAATTAAGGGGACTGCATAAAGTCTGTGTCTTAAAGAAGAGCAGGAGATGTCCCCTGAAAAAGAGTCTAAGAGAAAAAGAGTGCTGACTTTGCCCACACATATACTCTACCTTAATAGCAGACCCACACGCAGACGGGGCTTCTCTGTTTTTCCCAACTCAGAAAGAGAAACACTTATCTATGTGTCTCTCCAATTGTGCCCAGAGATCAAACTAAAAAAAAAAAAAATCACTATCATCGAGTCCATTTCAACTCATAATGGCCTACCATTGGGTTTCTGAGGTTGTAAAACTTAGCGGGACGAGACTGCCCATCTTTCTCCCAAAGACTCACTGGTGGATTCAAGGGCCTTTTATGCATGCACTCTCCAGCACGACAGCACGACACGCTACAGACTGCATCCACTGCCAGGTGGACAGGGCTGAGGAGGTCTGTATAATTGCTTGGAGGTTCAGAATGGAGGAGCAGGAAAGGATATTGATAAAGTTGTTATTACATGCTGTCCAGTTGACAACAACCCTATGACCAATGAATCTGAACCTTACCCTATCCTGTACCATTCTCACTATCTCCAACACACTTGAGCCCACTGTTTCAGTAACTGTGTCAACCTATCTTGTTGAGAATGTTAAGTTCTTCAAGTTCAAATTAGAAATAAATCCAGACCAGTAAAGAAACTGCTGACTCAAACTACAATAAACAAACAGCTGACTAGGAAACAGGGCAGTTTGTTGCTTATCTTTTCATAAAGGGTAGGTTAGTCCCTTTTCCCAGGACCTTCTCTGGACAAAATGCTAGGAGAGAGCAAGATGAGAAAGAGGAAAGAAGGAGGAAGAGGCCGAGTTACATCACCATCTCTGCCATAAGTGGGGCTTCATGTCATTACAGGTTATAAGGATGAACTTTTGAAGCATGAAAGTTACATAGTTGCAGTGTGGAGTGAGCTGGCCTGCTTTGGACAACTTACAGTGTGTTACATCAAAAGGGCGGGAGCTTCTGTGACACTTTCCCCCTTTGAGCTCACAGGCAACAACTGGATTCTTACAGACAGAATTGACCGTGTCTTCATCCTCATGGATGAAGGTGTACTGGGCTAAGCAGGTCTGATTGGATGTCTTCATCTTGTGGGCCATCAAGTTATTGCACTCCCTGGACAACAGGTCATGCTCAACGGAGTCTTTGCTGCTCTGACCTGAGAGAACATTAGACCTGAGCATCTTGTTATTCCCAACCTCATCTTCATTGGAGATAGTCTCTTCCCGCTGGGCTTCTGGTTGGGTGATAATCACCGGATTTTCTGACAGTAAGGTGTCCTCAGCCCTGCCATAGAAGTTACCGGCCCAAAACTTATCCAGTGACTGATCGTTGTCCTCCAGGACTGCAGCGGCCATACGGAGGCCCAAACCCAGCCCCAGCCCCAGGCCTAGCATCAGCAACAGTAACATGAAAAAGATCTGCACCAGCGTCAACTTCATTTTTCCTGGAAAGGAAAAAAGGAGATGAGGATGCAAATTGGCTCCAATAGAGACGTTAGCCTCCCCAGACTTCACAATATAGTCTCTGGGGTCTTTTCTGTCTACTCCAGACTTATTCACACCCCCTCAAAAGAGAGCTCTTTCTTTTTCTGTTTCTCCAGTCCCTCCCTGCCACAACTTTGTGCAATTAGATCTAACCAGGGGAAGTGGTTCTGAAATTGGCCCACATGTGGAAACTAAAGAAAGTTGACACCAATTAACTCTGAAACAGAAATTGTTTCCAAACAGCCAAGGAGAATGGTTGACAAAATAAGTGAGGACCTTTTCTTCAAAAGAAATTCTTCTAGAAAGCTTTATTCTCAGTAAAGGACTGGAGTTACCGTAAAAGACTATCTTTTAGTTTTAACTCCGAATTTACTTTTGCTAATTCTGCCGTTTTTCTTCTTACTACTCTTCTCACAAAAAAAAACCAAAACAAAACAAACACCACCACCCCCCAAAAAAAACCAAGAAAAACCAAGAAGAAGGAGAAACCACCTTAGTCTAGTCCCACTTCTAAGCTGAGGGTGAAGGGGAATGTCCACCCTTACATCTCAGGCTCCTGGCTAGAGCTCCGTCTTGGAATGACAGATTCCTTTCACTACTGGAGAGTTTTTAGTGCCTCAGTACTCACTGCTATCAACAATCTAAAGAAAATCAAGCAATGGATCTACTGGAGTTTCCCTACTGCTAACAAGGAAAAGAATACATTTTGAGACATTTGATAAAATTAAACTAGTCTGTGGATTAAAGAAAGTATCATATCAATGTTTAATATGCTAAATTTAAAGAGTATACAAGTATTTTCAAGAATTTTTTTCTTAGAACAGCAAAATGTATGCCATCTATTCTCACAGATTTCAGAAAACATTATGTGGATATTTGTACAGAGACATAGATTTATGGAGAGAAAGAGATTGAGCAAACAAATGTAGCAGAACTTTTTTTTAAAAATAAAGTATCTGTTTAAAAGGTATTTAGGAGTCCACTGTATTAGTTTTGCCAGTTTTTCATAAAGTTGAAGATGTTTTTAAAAAAGCTATGAAAGTTTCCTGTGTTAGTCCCTGTGGCTTACCTACAAACCTCAGTAGCTTCAAAGGTTCTCTTTTCCTCCCCTTCCCCAAGCTCTTAGCTCCCAGGCTTCCCTTCTCACTGAACAGCGCCCTGGAGTTTGGTCTTTAGCAAAATGGTCATCTCCTGGTGGTCCAAGTACTCTTAAGCACAAGCTTATTCCCTAAGGCCACTACCGTACTACGCCCACATCTGCCATTGAATAAACCCATTTAGCCAATTCTTTCTACTCCCACAAACACTTTTAAGTAAGGCCACTGACTTGAATTTAATTGGCATTCAGATAGATCCAATCATTCAACACAGGAAATGTCTCCAGGCTGGAAAACTGCAGACAGGCTTGTTTTTGTCAGTCTCAGGCTTGTTGTGTAACCTCTGAGTTACACCCACCATCCTGTGGCATAAAGCCATCTGACCTTGCCCATTAATTCCAAATTCAGCAATTTCCTTTTATGATCCACTTGTACTTCCTTTAATTCTTTTCTGTTATTTATGGAATGTCAAAAATCTTTGGTCTTTATGTTAGCTCATTTCTTCAACACAGATACTTTGCTTTTCACATTTTCAGGGCTTCATTTGCAGATTTGGAGTGAGCTAATCATGAATTTTCACATGTCTTGAAAAAAACCTAATTTGGTTTGAAAATGAGACAAAGTAACTGAAATGTATAGCTGTGGAGTCAGAACTGATTTGTAGCTGACACTTCACTGGGTTTCCAAGGTCATAAATGACATGGGTGGAGATTACCCATCTTTCTCCTGCATTGCCGCTAGCAAATTCAAACCACTAGAGAGACAAGATTTTAGAGTTAGCAGCTCAACTCCCTACCAGAATATCAACAAAGTCTGTTTCATCTCTCCATTCTCCACTACCTGGCTAATAGGGAGCTCTTGTGGCCTAGTGGATGAGGGGTTGTGCTGCCAATTCAAAGGCAGGCAGTTCTAATTCACCAGCTGCTCCAAAGGAGAAAGATGGGCAATCTCCTCCCATTCAATTTACAGTCTCTGTAAACCCACTGCAAGGTCAGCTATGAGTGGGTTGCAACTCAAAAGCACACAACAACAACAAATTTTGCTAATAGTAGCACTTACCTCAGAAAGAATTTGTGAATGTTTTATAAAACACTAATTGAGACAATCTGCATTATGCAGATGACACAAACCTGCTTGCTGAAACTGAGGAAGACCTGAAGCTCTTGCTGCAGAGGGTCAAGGACTGCAGCCTCCAATATGGATTGAGGCTCAATATCAAGAAGACAAAGATTCTTACCACTGGGCCAATTGGCAGCATCAGGATGGATGGTGAAGAGACTGAGATTGTTCATAGCTTTAGTTTGCTTGACTCCACAGTCAACACTCTTGGCACCAGCAGCCAAGAAATTAAAAGACATATTGCCATGGGAAAGTCTGCTGTTAGGGACCTCCCCAAAGTACTGAAGAGCAATGGTGTCTCTCTGGAGACCAGGGTGCATCTGATCCAGGCCATGGTCTTTGCTATCACTTGTTATGCATCAGAGAGTTGAACAATGACTAAGGAGGATAGAAGGAAAATTGATGCCTTTGAACTGTGGTCCTGGAGAAGAAGGAAAACAAACAGATTCATCCTGGAAAGGGTCAAACCAGGCTGCTCCTTGGAGGCAAGGATTCTGAGGCTCCGACTAACATACTTTGGCCATGTTGTAAGGAGGGATGGGTCCTTGGAGAGGGACATCATGCTTGGTAGGTTGGAGGGACAGCGCAGGAGGGGAAGGCCCTCTATGAGGTGGATTGATTCAGTGACTGGGGTAATTGGGATGGGAGTGTCAGAGACCGTGCGATTGGCACAGGACAGAGTAGAGTTTAGGACTGTTGTACATAGGGTCACTATGAGTCGCAAGTGACTCAACGGCACATAATAACAACAACAACAATTGAGAAGTAATGATGTCAGTTTGAGGACTAAGGTGGGTCTGATTCAGGCCATGGTCTTTCCGATAACTAGCTATGCATCTGAGAGCTGGACAATGAATAAGGTTGACAGAAAAATAATTAATGCCTTTGAGCTGTGGTGTTGGAGAAGAACACTGAACATCCCACAGAAGACTAAGAGAACAAACAGATTTGTCTTGGAGAAGAATGCAGTTGGAAGTGCTCTTTGGAGGCAGGGATGATGAGGCTTTGCCTCACATACTTTGATCATGTTGCTAGAAGTAGAGATTCCTCGCAGAAGGATATGATTCTGGGAAGGGTAGAGAGTCAGCGGACAGGAAGACCTTCAACTAGGTAGATTGATGTGGTGACTTCCGCAATGGTCTCTTGTGTGTCAGGAAGTGTGAGGATGGCACAGGATAGAACAAGGTTCAGATCTTTGTTCATAGGGTCTCTAAGAGTCATACTCAACTCAACAGCACCTAACAATAACAGCAAGACTCCTGGGTGATACAATTAGTTGCACGTGACTACCTATCTAAAAGGTTGATAGTTTGAACTCTTCCAGAAGAATCATGGATGAAAGACTTGGAGATCCACTTCCATGAAAATTATAGTCAAGAAAACTCTGTGGAGCAGTTCTGCTCTGTAATACGTGGAGTCACCATCAACTTGACAACAAGAGGTTTTGAGTTTGGTTTTGTTTGTTTTCAACCCGAAACACAATATGTACAACTAAGTGTGTTAATGTTGTTGTTACATGACAATTACCAACCCATGCTCATTAATTAGTCAATTAATTATGAATAAGGATGACAGAAGAACAATTGATGCCTTAGAATTGTGGTGTTAGAGAAGAGAACTGAGATACTATGGGCAAATTGTCAGAAATGGCCAGTCCTGGGGAAGACATCATATTAGAAAAGTTAGAGGGTCAGGGAAAGAGAGGAAGGCATTTAATAAAATAAATTTACGCAGTAAGTGATTGTAGTGATGGCTTGAGCATAACAAAGACATGCGAAGGCTTCGGAAATGGAAGGAAACAGAAAGAAACTTCATCTAGAGTCTTGCCAATCTCCTGAACTCAGATTTCTAATCTCATGAACTGGGGTGAGGGGTGGGGAATCTGTTCTTTAAAGCCACTCACTTAAAAACTATAATAAACTATCAAAGAGCAAGAGTTTCTAAGTATGAGTGCTATTTTCCATTAATCTAACTTAACCTAAAAGAATGGATTTTATTTTGATCAAGATCGCATTCATAGTGTCTGGAGTTTCCATCTCAAATTCCTAGAAAAATTAACAAATTATATAAAACAACAGTTATTCAAGATATTGGACATCAGGCAGTGAAGGACAGGGATCCCTAAGAAATGGTGAACAGATGAAGCAAATACTGTGACTGTGCATTCATTGAGTGTTTTCCCTCCTTTCCCTGACCTACATTTTCAAGCATATTGTCCTTCCCAAGGATTAGAACCTCCTAGCAGTGCGCCTCAAGTATGTCAGAGGAAGTTTCACCACCCTTGTCTCTAAGGAGCACCATGGTTGCTTTCCATCCAAACCAGACTCATTGTTTTTCGGGTAGATATTCTCCACCAACATCGCAATACAAAGACATCAATTTTTCTTGGTTGTCGTTAGGTGCCGTTGAGTCAACTGTGACCCATTGTGACCCTATGAACAACAAATCTAAGTCTTGCCCTATCGTGCACCATCTGCAAGATCTCAGTCACGCCCACCCCCATTGGGGTCAGTGTGTCACCCACCGAATGGAAGGTCTTCCTCTCTTTTGTTGACCTTCTACCTTTCCCAGCATAATAGTTCTCTCCAAGGACTGGTTCATCTTGAAAATATGCCCAAAGTAAGTGAACAGCCTCACCTTTCTTAATAGTGCAAGCTATTTTAACACTTTCATATAACAGTGTATAGTATAACTCTCCTTATAGTTGTGACGTTCCTCTCCTCAAGGGTAGCCATTCAA